TATGTCTCTCACTACGAGTCCTTCCAACGGTCCTACATCGCTGTTCTTCCAGCACCCAAGCGACAATCCCGGTGCTCTCATAGTTGCAGATCTCTTCAATGGGGAGAACTACGTGTCCTGGTCTCGTGCCGTCTCCATGGCTCTCAGCGTCAAAAACAAACTAGGTTTGTTGATGGTACTCTGTCTGCTCCTAACTCTACTCAAAACCCTAATCTCTATATGTCTTGGGTTCGAGCTAACAATCTTGTGCTGTCCTGGCTTTTGGATTCTGTGAACAAGGATATTAGACAGTCTCTGTTGTTTTTTACGATTGCTCATGATGTTTGGGAAGAATTGAAATCTCGATATGCTCTGTCTAGTGGTCCTAGGGTTTTTCAATTTGAGAAATCTCTTAGTACTATAGATCAGGGTACTTTGTCTGTTACTCAGAATTACAGCAATTTCAAATCTCTTTCGAATGAGTATGTGACTTATCGCCCTATTTTCAAATGTGTCTGTGGTGTTTGTGCTGATTGTACATGTAAAATCTTTGAGCAAATGTGTCTGTGGTGTTTGTGCTGATTGTACATGTAAAATCTTTGAGGCTATAGCTATTGCTCAGAGTCATGATTTTGTTATGAAGTTTCTGATAGGTCTAAATGAATCCTATTCATCTCTGAGGAGTCACTTTCTATTATCTAATCCTTTACACTCTCTTGCTACCATTTACTCTCTTCTTCTTCAAGAGGAAAGTCAGAGATCTTTATCCAGCACCACCAAATTATCTGATTCACTTGCTATGCTAGCCAAACAAACAAACCATCATATTTCTTCACAAACAAACCTCCTACATACAAACATCCAAACTCAAATTCTTTCACAAACAAACCCAATGACAAACCAAAACCAAAATGCAACCACTGTGGCTATCTTGGCCACACTGTTGATAGATGTTATCAAATCATTGGTTATCCTTCTAATTGGGTTGGTCCTCGTGGTCCTAGACCTTCTCCCAAACATTCTGCTCATGTTGTTATCACGTATTCTACTTCTCCTGTTTCTGATAACACTAATGATGCATCTTCCATGACTGACCGTTTGTTTACTGAGTTTTTAGCTTTTAAGAAATCACAGGAGTTGACACAAGGCAACTCTAACACTCATGTGGTTGCTAGTGCTTTTGCTGAGCTACCAGGTACACCTAAACCCTCTCTATGTATGATTGCTCAAACTTTATCAAAAACTACATGGTTTCTTGATACTGGTGCTACTGAACACATGATATGTGCTTCTGAATTTTTCACTTCACCTACTACATCGGTATCTGTTAAAATCACAATGCCTAATGGTAATCATGCTGTTGCATCTCAAATTGGACAAGTTCAACTTGCTGACTCTCTCGTCTTACATGATGCTTTATTTGTGCCATCTTTTGCATTCAATCTCATATCTGTATCAAAGTTGGCTGCCACAAATAATTGCATTCTCAAATTCTTGTCATCATCTTGCATATTACATGATCTGTCAAATCAGACAGTGATTGGTTCTGCTGAGCTTAAAGATGGTCTATATCATCTCTCCTTACCTACTAATAATACTTTACTAAACACTGTTCATACTGATAACCATGTAACCCCTCAATTACCTGTAAACTCTCATTCCCTTGTAACCTCTGATTCATCTATATGGCATTATAGATTGGGACACTTATCTTACTCTAAACTTCAAACATTATCTCTCACATCTACCTATAAACATGTTGTTCCATGTGATGTGTATCATTTCTCCAGACAGAAAAGGTTACCTTTCTCTGAAAGTACATCTATTTATGAATGTCCATTTCATTTGATCCATTGTGATGTTTGGGGACCTTTCTCAGTCCCATCTCATTCAGGTCATAAATATTTTCTCACCATTGTTGATGATTATAGTAGACTTACATGTATTTATCCTGCTGTTTTAAAATCAGATATCAAACAACATCTCACACATTTTTACAACATGGTGTTAACTCAGTTTGATAAGAAAATCAAAATCATCAGAACAGATAATGGTTCTAAATTCTTTCTTAAACAATTTTACACTGACTTTGGCATTTTACACCAAACTTCTTGTGTTGAAACTCCCCAACAAAATGCGAGTAGAGAGGAAACACCAACATCTTTTACAAGTAGCAAGAGCCATTTTATTTTATGCTCATTTACCTTTTTACATTCTGGATTGACTGTGTTCTTACTGCTGCACACATCATAAATAGAATCCCCACCCCTGTTCTCAACCAGAAATCTCCCTTTGAAATGCTTTTTCAAAAACCTGCTACATATGATCATTTGAAAGTAATTGGTTGTCTATGTTATTCTTCAACTTTGGTTGCCAACAGAAACAAATTTGATCCCAGGGCTTCTAAGTGTATATTTCTTGGCTATCCCTTAGTTGTAAAGGTTATAAACTTTACAACCTTGATACGAAGAAAACATTTATCTCCAGGAATGTTATTTTCTATGAAACAGTATTTCCTTTCAAATCTCTCTCAGAAACTAACTCTCCTACTCATATGTTCCCACAACCTGACTCTTCCTTTCTCTTTGACAACAATACTGGTCCTACACCAAACCATACCCCACCTATTGATAACTATCTTTCTACTTCACCTATTCATACTTCTTCTCGCACCACCCATCTCTACCTCTCCTACTAATACTGTTAATATTCATCATTCTCCTACAAACACTCCTCCAAACAACCCTTCTCCACACATATCTCCTATCAGAAGAAGATCACAAAGAATATCCAAAATCCCTGCTTATCTAGATGTTTACAAACATACCTTACACTCTCAGAATGCCTCTTGTTGCATAAATATTGTTTCTAACATTCCTGGGACAACCCCTTATCCTATTTCTGATTTTTTATCTACTAGCCAACTATCTGATACTCATAGTTGTTTCACTGCAATGATTTCCACTGTTTCTGAACCCAAAACTTATAAACAAGCAGCTAAAGATCTCCTTTGGCAAGAGGCTATGGCCAAAGAGTTGAAAGCTTTAGAACAAACAAACACATGGGTTCTTATGGATTTGCCAAAAAGAAAACATTGCATAGACTGTAAATGGGTTTTCAAAGTTAAATATAAATCAGATGGTAGCATAGAAAGATATAAGGCTAGGTTAGTTGCTAAGGGATATACTCAAGAGGAAGGGATTGATTTTTTTGATACTTTTTCTCCTGTAGAAAAAATCACAACTATGAGATTTCTGGTTGCATTAGCATCTATAAATAACTGGCATATTCATCAATTAGATATCAATAATGCATTCTTGCATGGTGATTTAAATGAAGAAGTTTACATGTCTATTCCTCCTGGCTATTGTTCTGATTCTGAAACAAGAGTGTGCAAATTAACCAAGAGTCTGTATGGCTTAAAGCAAGCCTCTAGACAATGGTTTCACAAACTTACCTCTTGTTTAATTGCCTATGGTTTTTGCCAATCTGTTGCTGACTGTTCACTGTTCTTTATGCATGAATCTGATGATTTCACTATCTTGCTTGTCTATGTTGATGACATCATACTGGCAATAATTTTTGCAAAATCAATGCTATTAAGTCCCATTTGGATAAATGCTTTACTATCAAGGACTTAGGCAAGCTTAAATATATTCTTGGTCTTGAATATTTGCACATTCTGACAAAGGAATTCGCATGTGTCAAAGAAAATATGCATTGGATATATTAACTGATTGTGGTTTACTAGCTTGCAAACCTTCTTCTACTCCGATGGATGCTTCTTTGAAACGTAGCAAAAATGACACTACACCTGTCCTTGAAAACCCTTCTGAATACAGAAGGCTTGTGGGTAAATTGAATTATCTGACCATAAGCAGACCTGATATTGCTTACTCTGTTCAATCTTTAAGTCAGTTTATGTCTAACCTCACTCAACAGCATCTTCAGTCAGCACAAAGGGTGCTCAGGTATGTCAAAGGTACACTTGGCCAAGGTATACTCTTTCTTAAATCCTCTACTTTAAATATCACAGCATATTCAGATAGTGATTGGGCCTCTTGCATTGATACAAGGAAAAGTGTAACTGGTTATTTGATTTTCCTTGGTGATTCTTTAATCTCTTGGAAGTCAAAGAAACAACCTACTATAAGTAGGTCTTCTGCTGAAGCAGAATATAGAGAACTTGCCTATACAACTTGTGAAATCCAGTGGTTATTCTCTTTATGCAAAGCATTAAAGATTTCACTAACTACACCTGCCTCTCTTTTCACTCTCTTTTCACAGATAGTAAATCAGCTATTGCAATGGCCTCAAATCCTGTATTTCATGAGAGAACTAAACACATCGAGCTCGATTGTCACTTAATTAGAGAGAAGATAGCTCAAGGCTTGATCCACCTTCACCATACTCCAACCACAGACCAACTGGCAGACTTCTTAACCAAACCTCTACCAGGCCCTCTGTTCCATTCACTCCTCTCCAAGTTGAGCATGCCAAACATCCATGCTCCACTTGCGGGGGAGGGGAGGGGGGGTTTAATAGAATTATAAGTTGTACATTTTATGCTTTATAGTATTGTACTTGCAGTCTTTTATTTGTAGTTCCTTTTATATGTAAAAGTGTTATTAGCATTTGACACTTTCAGTTATTTTACCACATGTATATAAAGGGTTTGCTAACCCTAAAACACAATGTAATTTTCATTCTCTGATCTCCATAATCAAATCGCCGCTTTCTTTTTCTCTCTCTATTCTTCATCTCTTGTTCTTCCTTTTCTTCTCTGAATCGATAATTCTGATATTCGGTGAGTTGTTAGTTCGTTATCTTTATAATGTTTTTGGCCTCCTCCGTATATTGTTTCATACATTGTGTCCATTGTTGCATCTTATGAGTTGCATTCTTCATCAAAGTTCGCTGCCTTGACAAAATGTCATGCCATTGACTTCTCAAAACTATCTTTGTTTAGTATAGGAAAGTTATTGCTTGCTAAGATCGGTGTTGATGTGATGCAGGAGAACATGACCCGTATGTTGATGGTCACAGACGTGCACGAGATTATCAAAAGACACCAAGCTCAGATCATTACTTCCCTGAAGGATCCTGATATCAGGTATACTATTACTACTATACGCTCTTTCAAGACGTAGATTGACTGCTCACTGCTCAGTTATCGCGTGTTAGGCATAAACAGGCAGTGTTATCAAATGGCAGCGCCATGGCATGGCAGATATCTGCATAACTGCCATGAGAAATTTGTGAAGTGTGGCGGTTATGGTGGTGCCATAGGCCACCATGGAGGCGCTATGCCACAGTTTTGGCCTTCCACCATTGGTAATATTGTAAATAGCTGAAGTTATACCAGGATGTTGCTTCATGACATTTGCATGTTGAATGATCCCTTCGCTAGGGTTTTACTTAATATAAGTATGCAGTTATCCGGGGATATTCATGGCTGTCAATGTTTGGGCTGCTCTTTTTTCATTTTTCCTTCTTTTTTTTTATCAGTGGTGTCAAACATTGAATTTGTCTCATGATCACTTGTTGTATCAACAGTATCAGAAGACGAGCCCTTGATTTGCTTTACGGCATGTGTGATATTTCGAATGCTAAGGACATTGTTGAAGAATTTTTACATGTTCACACTAATAATCTTGTCTTTGATTTCACTCTATAATTTTAGTTGGCTGCTAAACAAATAATTTTCCTTGGTATGCCATTTGTTTCAGTATCTCAGCTCAGTTGACTTTGCAATGCTGGAAGAATTGTCACTTAAAGCTGCTATGCTTGCTGAGAAATTTGCCCCTGACTTGTCATGGTACGAAATATGTACACGACATAGACTTGTACGTATTAATTTGTTAAACAAGGTTATCTGAAATGATTCTCGAGGAGCTGGTGAACAAATAACTTGGTTAGTGTTTAATATATTTGCACTATTTTGCTTATATCAACTGTCTATTTTTGGGGTACACCATATGTTTTATGTGCTCAATTTGCTATTTGTATTTTCATCATCACCGCTTTGAGTTGGATGCATCATAGCCATTATTATGACATGAAAAGCTAATAACAATTCGATACCAGGCATTAAATGTTTGTTTTAGAATAATCCAACCTAACAATTGGGTACCAGGCATTAAATGTTTTTTCTCAGAATATTTTGACTGTAGATGAACAAATGAATTCTAGTAAATAATAAATTATAGTAAAATACTCTCTATGTTTTACTGGAGATGAACAAATGAATTCTACTAAATAATAAATTATAGTAAAATATTGTCACTTTCTGAGATTCATTTGAAGCCTTTCACTTTACCCTTTTCCTTTATTAGTGTAAAGTAGAAGTGTTGCTTGCTGGTGAATATAGAATCATTACCTTAGGATTTGCTCTTTTTATGTTGCTTCATGTGAAATTTAAGTTGATGTTAGATTTATTTTTGGATATGTTCTTAAATCCTTAAATTGTTCATTAGAAGTTTTTCTGCATCCAATTGATGTTAGATTTATTTTTGGATATGTTCTTAAATCCTTAAATTGTTCATTAGAAGTTTTTCTGCATCCAACTGAAGCTTAATTACAATTGAACTTGATTGTTTCCCCAAAACGTTGTAGGATGCTGGCTATAAATTTCTATTCAGTTTGAGACAGTATCACTTCATTTCAGTGCATGCTTCAAGGAAGATGTCGTACTTATATA